GTGTGTGTGTGTGTGTGTGTGTGAGAGAGAGAGAGAGATCAGGATTCAGGAAGACTTGTATAGCTTATTCAGTACTCAAATGTTATAGGCCTACCTATCTATGCAGTAGCCTACAGTGGAATACAATAAGTTGCAAAATGCAATAAGTTTAGTTTACCTATTCGTTTTGGCTTGTTTAGCAACTTATATTTTTCATTCTTGTTTTCTTCTTCAAAATAGCCTATAGACTAGGTATTGTGTTTATTGTTTGTACATTATAACATCTCGCTTTATTTACTGGTGTTATTTATTATTATTATGAATGTAATAATGCCGTTTGTGCTTATCTGTGTTTAACCTAAACTACAATGTAACATTAATGTAGACCTACATACCGGTATCTAAATATGATTTTATAATTTTATGCTATATAGACCTACCACATTACCCTCCACTGGATGTAGAATGAGCAGCAATAAACTACATTTTGGCATTTTATAATACTAATGTGGATATTTTGGTGAAAGTAACTCAAAAGTAGTGTAACGCATTACAATTCAGAGACAGTAATATTGTAATGTAACTAATTACTTTCAAAAGACAGTAACTAGTAATATATAATGTATTACATTTTGGAAGTAACTTGCCCAACACTGTATATGAGGATGCACTGAACTACAAAATCAAACATGATCTATTGGGTTCTGGCTCAGTCTGCTGCATTGAAGCTAATACTTCCATAGATGCAGTCCTGGACATTCCTACATCTTCATCTTCAGGTGGAGGTGGACCTGTGAGAAATGATATGAAACAACAACAAAAGATCTCAGAACCTGAATAATATTTGCCTTAAAGTAGTCCGTCTGTACCTTTAACATGAATTGTATGAAGGATCAATAATCAAAAATGTTTTACACAAGTTCACAATGTAGATGGAAGATTTGTTATGGCTCAGGAAAAAAGAGAAATGTCACTGAACAAATATACAGCATATGTCCCATATAGCAGGCACTATATGTGGTAACATGTCAGCAACATTTAAACAACAAAATAATTATAAAACTCAGTAAAATGTAAACAAACCAATGTTTTGACCAACATTCACATATAGAGTGAAACATATGATAACACGGCCTGATTTTGAGAAATTGCCATTAAAAACACCCCAGCTAACAAAAATATACACTGTTTTGCTAACATTCTCATTAAAGAATGTTTTTAGAACTTTCAAAACATCCAGTTATTTAAAAAAAAAAGTTTTTTTCTTGTTTATGTGACGGTTAGCAAAAACATTAAGGGAATGTTCCATATTATCATTTTACT